AAGCTTCGAATAACGGTCAAGTCAAATTAATATGAGATTTTGATGAATAAGAGTCAGACGCTGCTCGCGCCCCAACCAGGGCACCTAAAGACGTTAAATGATTTTTCCTGCAAAAAAATTTAGAAAATGTAAATATTTTGTTTAATATTATCTACTGAACCTTGAGATCTTAATGCCAATAAACTCAATACTATAGTAGGTAAATGGGTATAGTAATTTCTAAAATAAAAATAGTGTTTGAAGTATTTTTATTTAAATTTTTAAATTAATATAAATAAATTACTTATATTACACATAGTTTCACGTACCTGCGTCAGCAAGCATCTTCGATGTTAATCTAATCATTGAATTATCAATATTGATGTTTGGCCTAAACTATGTTTAGGTGACTAAAATTTTAATAAAGATTAATATCAAGTAGGAAACTACTTCAAGATCGTCAACAGGCCCATGAGTATTCAATGTTCATGGCTAGCCTAAATACCTGAAGGCTTTCTCTACATAAAGAGTTTACTGTTTGTCCACGCATGGCTGTTTAAAACGTTTAGTTTTATCAAAAACCGCTGCTGTCTGGTCTCTGTGAAATGTATAGCTCAGCTAAGTCCGCTATTTCGACACCTTCGGGAACTTTGATTCGAGTAAGTACTGTAAGTACTGAGAGTAAGTACATAATGTCCGCATCGTGCAGTCAACAATCTGTCCTCGGCGCAACATTGAAATCGAACTGGTCAAATAAGTATCGACGTTTAAATATACTAAAACATTCAAATTGCATGCAACCATGCAATCATTATCGACTAACAAATTAGACTTTGGTTAAAAAAACGTATAATTATACACGACTTTTTTTTTGCTCGAACTATAGTATCGAAATAGGTGAATGTCGCAGTTATATTGTGAATAATTTATTGTCGTTACGTAGGTATGTGTTATTAGAATAAGATTATCTTAAAGCGGAAGGAAGGATGACGGTGGTGCGGACCTTGAAGCAAACTTCCTTTGTCGTAATCGGAACTAGCGCACTCACCAGCGACAACCTCCAATGAAACACATACCGGGTATCAACTCGTTAATTTCTTATTAAAAACAATGTCAACCGATTAATATAGTAGAAAAGAAAAGGTTTTATTTAAACTCGTTTCGCTTGGAACCACGTTATTATACAGTTAATAGCCCTACAATTTACAATTGCTCCTAAATGCAAATGTTGTTTTTCACATTGATCATGACATAAACTTAATCTGTTGTCCATTATTACTAAGTGTTATGCAATTTTATTTTATTATTATAATACACGGCAGGCTGGATTAGACTGGTTTGTAGACAATGTTATTATAAATAACAGCAATTATTGAAAAATGTAGATTTAATATTACCAATATTTGCGGTTAAGACTAGTTCTAGAGTAGACCAGGATCAGGGTGGACTGACGATCTACTCAAATGTGACTGCCAATGGCGTGGCTGCGCGGTTGACGCATTCGTTGGGCAACTGGTTGGTGTGCAACGTGTCGCGGGTGCGATTCCCGCACGGAACGTCAATTGGGTAGTGTCCTAGGTCAAAAACAAATTAACTCGACCACAGTAAAAATATCATATACCTATTACCTTGACTCGACGTTTCAATACAATAAACAATTGAAAAATAACTATACTTTTATTCATCAGTCGATCGATACACTAAGTTTTAGATATTTTGCAGCTAATTATTAAGAAATAAGTAATTAATGCAAAAATACTATGACGTCACAACTCAGTTTTTCATACGAATTTCATAATAAAGTATCGTTTTTGACATTTGGAAAAAAGTATTGCATTTGACTAGTTGGAAACTACCCTATTGTTTCGGGTCTGGGTGGGTTGTGTATATGAATTTGTATGTTTGTAAACAAAACCACAACACAGGAAAAAAATCAAGTGTGTACCTAGTAAGGGTTTTTTTAAACTTAAAACGGCAAAAGATGTCGCTCAGTGACGTGCTATTGAAGGAGCCTGTGTCCTGTTTTCTTTTCCTATTTTTTTTAAAGTTGCCTCTAGCTAAGATTTTCTCCTTTGTCGTGCGTGCATTTACGAATATAAAATTTCACAACAACAATTAGTGGATCACACAAAGTGTTGTTCCGGGCGACCAAACGTGCATACAGTCCAGTGGATTAGGTAGACGCTTAAACAGACCCATAATAATGATGAATGAGATTATCAAACAACCATTTAGTTTTCATGCGAAGGCACCTAAAGAAATGAGATGTTGAAATTAATCTGAACTCTATACATTTTCCAAAATAAACTAATTTACCATACCTATATGTAGGTTTAAATGTTAAGGTCGACTTTGATTGCCCTCAATTTACCTACTACTAAGAACGTATATGAACTTAAGATATGTATGTAGGTATTTTCTGAAATTCCTAAAAGTAGGTAAGTACCTACAATATAGGTACACACACTTTTATGTGTGCGCGGTTAACATAGCTGTGGTTAAACCCTATCGATACAAAGACCGCAGCAAGCAATGGTATCCCCTTTTATTGAGATTCAACTCAATAACAACACATTAAGGTTTAAAATCTGACAATAATTTTTGATTTGGGATAACTTGATTCTGCCGACATTCGCACATCTTAATCTGGCTTACGTGACCACAAGCACGACTACAAATCGTGATAAATCACTGATAACAAACATTAATTGTTGTTGTACAATGAACCTTGGTGCAACGAAACATGGGCTATTATACAAAAACGTAGTGTACAGAAAGAAGGCTAATTTTTTACCCTTTAAAATAACAATTTTCATTGAATATTTCTCATTCTTGGATGCATTTATTAACTAACATAATTCGTTTCATAACACTAGTTTGAAAAAGGTCTAATTGAGTAAAGGCGTCTTCTCAAGCAGAGAAGGTGTTATTAGCATTAATCACCACACATCTTCATTTTTTAGGCACCTACATCATTGTATGTCAGTAGTTGTTAAATAAAAATAGCTACATATACCTAACTTGGAAAAAGTTATGCAAGTTTCGCACCCTGAACGCTGAACCTACTCATATATAGGATACCCTCATGCATCAGAAGATGGAAAATGGAATCCACACCCCGAATTGTCGTAGCCAAACAGCGTTTGATATGGGTACCCCTTTTACGCCGTAGCCCTTCTAGCTTGTGACTTCGCCGTAGCAGGGATTGCCATAATAAAATAATCTAATTTCAGTTACGGATTAACTCACCATGTTGACCTCGATTTGGTGTTGCCCTTGTAAATTTTTGCATATAATTAAATTCTAGTCAAAAAAAAATTTATACGTTATATTATGCTGACGCACTTTTTGAACGCATGTTTTTGACGATATCACTGCTGACTTCCTCATTGTTCGAATGGCGACTGCTGAGTATCTAGGGGTTCTCAATTTCGTTTTTCATGTCAGTCTTGCAAAGGGCATTCATCATCATCAGCCTGATTTTGTCCACTGCTGGACATAGGCCTCCCCAATTGCGCGCCACTGAGCTCGATATTCAGTTCTTCTCATTCAACTACAGCCAGCCACCCTGCGGATATCGTCATTCCACCCAGCTGGAGAGCGCCCTAAACTAAGTACCTATTACCTATTCAAATAATTCGGGTATTAGGTATGCCCAGTGCATGGCTGAAGTATATTAAAAAGGTTTAAAAGCCTTATAATCACTTAATACACGAATTGATGTACTTATTTGTCGAAGTGGAACGTATTATTTCTATTCAAGTTGGAACATGCAACGGCGGCCTCTAACGGAATATTAAGTAATTAACATGCACTCTGTCGAGGCGATGTTGAGGCCGCACTAAATAGGACAGAACCGACGGAAATTGTTATATGAATGTTTACCAATATAACGTAAGGCTTGGGAATGATGTCGTGTTCGTGATAATAGAAGCTAATTATTAAAAATATAAGATCGTTCAATTAACGGACAAAATAAGAAATATCGTACTGCGCTCCAAAACGCAAATCGCTGACGTTGGTCAGAAACCCGCAAGCCTCAAGTGGAACTGGGCTGGACATGTTTGCCGGTGCCGGTGGTGGGCAAAATTTATTACCTACTGAAAGGAGTCCAACGTTTAAAGACACCGTGGCAGGCTCAGAAAGAGATGGCGGCGAACTTGATGTCTTCGACGAGGACTGGCCGCAGAAAGCTTTGTGCAGAGAAGAGTGGAAGAAGGGTAGGGAGGCCTTTGTCCTGCAGTGGGACGATAACGGCTGGTAAAAATAAATTTTAAATGTCTGTCTGTTTGTACAGGTTTTGGTATACATAATATACGGTAACTCCCTACATGGTAGAGTCACTCTTACTGAATGAAAACAACCCCGCTCCTTCTGCTCTGGGCTAGCTGAGGTAGCGGTAAGTTTTTTTTTTCTTAAGTGTGGGAGATCCAAGCTTCGGCACGAAAGGGTCGGCTCGACTGGAGTGATACCACGGCCTCACAAAATACCGATGTGAAACAACCACAGCGTTGTTTCGCCGTTTGATGTGTGGTTACCGGAGGCCCAATCCTTCCCCTCCCCCGATCCCTAAATATCCAAGACCATAATCCCTAAATCTCCAAAACCCTAGGTAATCCCTAAATCTCCAAATCCATAATCCCTAAATCTCCAAAACCCTAATCCTAAATCTCCAATACCCTAATCCCTAAAAGATCGGCAACGCACTCGCAACTCCTCCGTTGCGGGTGCGTAAAACAAATTTGGATTTGCCTGTTTCCTTCTTTGGCTGATCACTTCCCTAAGGAATAGAACTTCTTTTCCCTACTGATGCCCAACATTTTGTCTACTGCTGTTTGAGATACAAAAAGGAAAATTTTGTGTTTTGCTCTAATCTACATTACGGCAACCCAATGGGTCCGATAAGCATTCATGTAAAGTAATTATTGACAGAAGAGAACACACAGATAAACGGAAATGGCAAATACTTCATTGAAATACTAATAAATGTTAATTTACAATTAGGTTGGAAATAAAACAAAACAAATTCACCTTAAAGTAATTTAATTCATAGATACACAGTAAATGCAATTAAAATCAGCGAATGTGGAATTAATTAAACTAAATACCACAAGACACCCAGTTAATTGCAAAGGACTTTTTTTTTAATGATTTTTGTCTTTTTTATAGGTACAGACACATTATTTTGGCGATGATTTACATATATATATTTAAAGTTTCGACATTCTTGATGATATTTATTTCTCTTTCTTTCGAAAGAACCTTCTTCTAACAATCACAACGTAAAATTCAAACCGTTCCCGAGTTAAAACTTGGCAACACATTTACATCATACATATTCATTTAAATTTTATTATAAAAAAGATAGAAAATTTATATACAACTTAAAAGATTTATAACAGATCTAGCAAAAGGCGGATTTTGCTTAAATCACAAATTTTTGTGTGGGAGACATACCACGAATGAGCTGGTCCGACCGGAGCGATGCCTCAGCCTCATAGAAACAGCCCTTGCATTTTGAGTTCACCGTTGAGTGAGGTTTCCATAAGCCCAATTCTTCCCTCCCCATTCTCAATTCTCTTAAACCTCAAACCCCTGTTCAAGTCCGGCAACGCACTTTCAACTACTCAGTGTTGACACACTGAGGGGCGCCGATTCCTTCCGTTCAGTAATCAGTATGCTAGTTTGCCATTCTATCCGATAAAAAAAAATAAAGCAGAAAATGATTTAAACCTGATCACTGCATTCACACTTACTATGTCAGTCATCAAGACGAAGTACCATCGCAAAAATAATTTAAACTGTATCGCTAGTTTACTGCTACAAGAGTAATGTAATATTAAGACTAACATGTACAAGCCGTCATAAAAAAATCAATCAAGCCGTAATAAAAGGCAAATAAATATATTTATAAAATCGTTTCAAACAATATTCATTCTTATGACTAAACATTTTAAGATATAATAAATTGAAATCTTTAAGAATACACTTGGCAAAACTGACACAAAATTTTTATTTAAAGAGAGATGTCTTATACTTATTTACCGATTATAATAATATAAGCTATCATTAAATACAAAATGACAGTGGCCGTTGTGGAAAAACAAAACGGAGTAAACCAGTATAATAAAAACTGATGTTGGCAAGATTGTAAGAACCAAAGGTAAAAGGTTGGGTGGAACTCCGAACTCTTCACTCAGCTCCACTTACTTTTCGCCAGAACTCAGTATTAAGAGTGTATATCTCCCCAGCTTGACAGCCTTGGTCAAAAGGCACCCGGAGGTGTTCCCGCTACCCATGATTAAGCCTTTGACTGCCGACAGAAAACTGTTGAAGTCAAATCCTCCGCTAACGGAGGTCACCGGTCACCATGGCGTTTAAGTGTTAAAAATTGACTTCAAGGTCTAATAAAAACCGAGAGTGTAGATTCCGATGGAGAAGAACGAGCAAGAAACTCCATGGTTACTCTTTTTCATATTCGCATTGTGCCGATAGTCTTGGCGGTCAATGGGGTTTTCTTAGGACTCGATTGCCATACTATGAAGCTAGCGGTAGTCGAATTGTTCAAGGGCCTGCTACAAAATACAGTCCTTGATATGGCATTGCTAGGAGGTTTTAGCCTAACCACCGGTAGATTGAACCTTTCGATAATATAATTTAGAGTGATTTTAATAAAAATATGTATAAATTATAATAACATCAGGAAACAAAACAAATAATCACTTGCACAATTGGGTCAAAAAATCCATATTATACAATTTTTATATGATATTATTAATATTAATACTGGTCTAATAAAACATACATTTTACTACATATTGATACATCGATTTTTTTGTGGTTTTGGATTATATTTTTTCTTTTTTTTTTGTATATGTGTTTCATTTATGCAAAGACATCCAGAGTTTAAAAAATTATCAATAAATTACATGACTATTTTTAAGTATAGTAGATTATTTAAACGAAAAACATGCGGCTGAATTGCAGCATCTTGTCGAGAACATGGAGCCGCTTTGGTTTACGTTCCAGTTCTCGATTATCGAACTTTTCACCGCTGTAACAAAAAGAAAAAACATTTTTAATAAATTGACTGCCTCTGTAACTCTGTTGTTTTAATGTTTCCGTACATACAAGTTATAGAAAAAATCTTTAACTTTTTTCAAAAGAAATGTAGGTTTTACCCAAATATAAAATACCTGGCGAGTTGTAAGTTTTTGATAAATAGGTTATATGCGATTTCAACAACTAAATAAAAGTATAGAAGTATTTTTACGTTTAAAATTGAATCTGAATTCAAATCTCAACACTAAAAATATATTTGGATGACATCTATATGCAGTATGTTAAAGATACAGATATCGACGAGTTATAGGTAACATATTAACAATAATCTTAAAATACTCTGACATCCTACTAATAATAAAAACACAGAAGTTTGTAAAGGATGATTGTCACGCTTTCGCGTAACAACTACAAAATGAATTGGAATGAATAAGTCAAAAGTCAAATGAATGCATCAGTCTGTCGGTCTGGCCTCTAGTGAAGCTACATAATTATTTGCTCGTTCCAAAGTGATTTAATCATCATCCGCATATAAGTGCCCACTGCTGAGCAAAGGCCTCTTCTCACACGGAGAAGGTTTGAGCATTAATCACCACGCTTGCTCAATGCGGGTTTACGAATTCAAATCTTATAATTGGAAATTATAAGTCCAGGTTTCCTCACGATGTTTACCTTCCGGTGAAGGTAAACATCGTGCCATATGCCAGTGGTATCTAAATAATCCATAAAGGTCACATTGGTACTTGCCAGGTTTTGAACCCCTCCTCATGCATGAGAATCGGGCTCCTCAATCTCCGGGCCACCACGACGACGACGAAAGTGATTTAATAGATAAACCTTATATGGATTACATTTTTAAAAAAAACACATAGGCTAATTTTGAATCTGAAAGGTAGAGCGACTGGCAAAAATTAGCACAAGATATTTAAAAGATACTTACTGAGTAAGAGATCGAGCTCGTAGGCAAGCAAGATGGGCATAGTAGGTCGGAGTAGGATAAGACACAGATCGCATACACCGTGAATAAAGGTGGCACAGGTAGTAAGTCAATTGTTCCACTTCATCATCTGGGATCTTGCCGTCGTTGCAGACTGTGTGGTAGCGGGTTGGGCGAGCTGTACCTTTTATCGCTTGGTGAGACACCTGATTTAAGAAAGACATATTATGATGAGGCAATTGTAAAATAATTGTATATTAATACTCTAATTATGTTTCTTATGTATCTAATCTATTTATATGTTATTACGGCAAAACATAGCGGACTTTATATATAAGACTTAATTATATAAACTACCAATGTTTAAAAAAAATAATGATTCTGATGGTATTTGAGTGGTTAAGTCTAAACTATAGACAGTGTTTCCCAAAAATTTTTGCTGGATTATAAAAAGTCAACCTTTTGGACAACTCTAGGTAAGAAGAATGCACTTCATTACTGAACATTCTAAAATTTCATTATTGAATTATGGGATATTTGCAACTGTTTCTTATGTTCATTAATAACTGATTTGTGGTTTGAGAGAAGTGAAAGAATATTCTCGCAGAGCACCTACACAAATGCGTAGTAACACTTTGAGTATGACTGTTCTAGACATAATCCTGTAATTTCCAAACAGTTAAATTCAATACTTTTATTAAATTTCAAATCTATACTTTTGTATGAATTTTCTATGCTTTCGGCACATATTTATGACGTAATAATGTTTTGTTGTAACTAAGTCAAATAACATACTAATTTTCTAACACTAGCTGAAATTGTTTTATCTAAATACCGTATCAATGAACATAAATCTTTAAAGAATTGGATTTTAAAATCAAATTATTTTATTTTCGACCTAGGAAACTACTCGATTAATATGTACTTTAAACAGTCGACGACTGCTAATTTAAGGATGACAAACTAAAGCTGCTTCGGATGAAACTGCCTTGTCGGTCGAGTAGCTGCAAGAGTATCGAAAGAAAACAGTTTCGCTAAAAAGTATTTTGGTCTTTTGAAAAATAACATGGAGGCAATGTTTTCCTACAATGGTTCCCCTAGTGGATTAAAATGTGTGACGTTATGTATGTGTGTTCTTTTTGCTCAATTTTATTACTTACTAGATAAAAGTCTAACTCAGAGGAGTGTACAATGTCCGTATCGACGACTGTCCCCGGCTCCACATTGTATTTCTCGTTAGGGCCATGGTTAAATAGTCTGGAATACAAAGTTTTCTGTTAAAATCGTCATCATAAGGAAACCTCATACTACGGCAGTTTCCAACGAGTTAAATACAATACTTTTATCCAAATGTCAAAAACGACATTTTTCTATGTAGTATTTCTGCGTCAAATAAATTACTTATTACTTAAAAATTAGCTAAAATATATCGATATTTTTTTGGCATTGGGGAAGGATTGGAGGAGGTAAAGATTTGGGCCTCAAATTATTTGCAAAACAAATGTCTTTGCCTGAGATCAATTCACTATTAAAGTCAAAAATCACTTGTCAATCCGCGAATATTATTATAATATTCTGAATGTTTTGTAAAAGATAGATTCTTACCTCGTATGATGTCGTTTCTGCACCAATAGGAACAACACTTCAGGCTTATTTTGTAGCCCTGCCATGCGCTGGTAGGCACTGTGGACAGCTGCGAGTTCGCTGTTCATTACCTATAATACAACAATATTAATAACTATAATTCATTAAACAAAATATAGTTGAATCCACTTACTTCCTCATCTATTAAAATAAAATGTGAGAATATGAATGAAAATTGACTTATTATTTCTTGTACCATAAACCTAAAACTTCCGCACCCGATAGGTACCGAGTAATCAGTGCCAGTCATGGACGCCCAAGCCAGAAGAACAAGGCAAAACCAGGGGAGTCCGCTGCCGGTCCATTGGGGGCATTAGGGTATTGGAGATCCAGGTAGGTAGGAGGTAAAAACTTTTTTTTAAACGTAGCCTCGCATAAGGATTTTATCCTGTATCTTGGGTTTACAAACATACACATTACACCCAGACCCGGAACAACAATTTGTGGATTACACAAAGCGTTGTTTCGTGCTGGAGTCGAACCAGCGACACGTTGCACAGCAGCCAGTTGCCCAGCCACCGCGTAACTGTGCAGTCTATCGACTGGACCTAAGGCGACCTCACTCACACTGCGAAACAATTGGCGGCAGAACTAGTGTATTAAAACTGTTAGAGTTACCTGTGCAAACTGTCCTTCAGACACGCCATCGCGGAATACGAAAATCTTCTTTGGCAGTCTGCCTTGGTTACGTTCCTTGAACACCTTTAGGTGATCAAACATCATGTCTTCAAACTCCACGATCATCTCTTTCTGTTAATATAAATTATACATTATGTTATGGCAAATTAGATTTTAAATGTACGCTTGTTGTTTTTGACACGATTAGTAGCTTCATCTGTAGGTTTGTAACGGCCTCCTTTTTATTTGATAAAGTATTATTAGATTTAACGTATTATAAAAATGTTTTTCGAAAACAAAGCAACGATTTGATATGTTGTTCGGTTATTTATCACTTGTCTCATCCTGGGCGGCGCGAGTGTTGAGTTGACCCCGACGTCTGCAGTCTGTGTTAGGCTAAGAATACTTAAGGTGAAATAAAAAGAACTACATCTTGTCAATTCTGTTCTCTGTTTCTCACTTGTTTAAGAACAGTTCTAACTGCGATTTAGGCAAAATAATTCAAAATATTATATTTAAGATATATTTTCAAAATAATTTAATTTTGTCATGATTCTAGAGTTAGAATGAGGTCTTCGAATTACTAATTAAGTACTTGTTTTTAGTCCAACTAATCTTGAAGTAAAGGTGACTGGTAAATAATGGCATGCATGCATGTAACATCATTTATACCTTTACTATATTACATTTTAAACTTTACAGTGTTGGTATAAGGTTGACAATGCAATGAAAAATTGAGATTGGAGTAGGTTGGTGCTGGCCATAGTGCTTAAAATGAACGGAATGAGTAATTTAGGAGTGCGTACTTACCTTAGGAGTTTGTATGCTTAATTCGATATTATAAATGTAACATTTCGGATCTATAGAGGCGGTCACTGCAGCAATACTGGGTATATTCGACTGAAAACAAAAAAAAAACATTAATTTCTTTACTTCATCTTTGGTCGTAATTGTCTTAGTATTAATGTTTTTTGGAGAATAGCACGTAATCCGGAATTTTATATAACACAACTGGTGGAAAATATACATAACATTGTATGTATACCTCTATCCTATATTTATTTTATTCCTCTATTAAGCTTTAACTCGATGGATGCACATGGATGTTATGGATATGAAATATGATATTTCGGATAGTCCGTTAGTTTACGATCATTTCGGTTGCGGATATTAAAATTTCAAGGATTTTCAAATGTAAAATACAAACATAACGTGTCTTAATTAAGCTCCACCCCTACCCGATAATATCCGAAACTCTTATTTCGGATACGGTTATAGTTACGGATATTTTTTTATATGGGATATATGATAGTTTCGGTTTTTGGTTTTTTATGGTTAGGTACATACATCTCTCTAACATCTCTGGTTAAAACCGAGTAGCTAGTATTTCATACCTGATCCGGTGAGGGATGCGTGACGTCAGCCCCTACGATCATTACTGGCGAGTCCTTCAGGCATCGCGGCATGGCCACCGCGTCGATTGCCTGGTTGATGCCCATCAGTTTGGAATTCACCTGTTAATCCATATAATATATTAGATAATAGTTATTGCCAGAGTAGCGGGCTTAAGCGCAATAATTTAGCGCGTCCCCGGCGAAAATAGGAAAGGAACCGGGGTGGTTTATAGTCAGAAAAAGTTACAATGACGCCCAACCCAGAGCAGAAGAAAGCCATTTGTGAATAATAAGACCTCATTGTTGCAGTTTTTCAACAAGTACTTGGATTCGATACATTATAGAATTTTGTCCTTGGATATGGTGCACGTCACTTGTTAATAGTATCCTCATATTAAATCGTATTGTATCACATTAAAAACAGTACAAAGCGTTGGGAACTATTAACTCAGTCCCAAGCCAAGAGCTTTATACACTAAGAAAGAAATAACTAGAAAATTTACCTTCAGCAAAATATTTTTGGCTGTCATCGGGTTCATACGACGTGCCGTCGCCTCTCTGACGCATTGAGTCAGTATGCCCACCTCACGCTCCGCCAATTGCTTCACCTGTATAAATCAAAGTAAAATAAAGTTACATAATACAATTAATTATATATTATTCTTACTTTACAACAATAGGGTAATTTCCAAGTAATCAAATTCAATACCTTTATCCAAAATTAAATATCAAAATTTTTTTGTAATTTTTTTTTTGTCGTGGTGGCCCTGAGATTAAGGAACCCACTTCTCATGCTAGAGGGTGTGGGTTCGAAACCTGGCAAGTACCAATGTGACTTTTTCCAAGTTATGATGTACTTTCTATGATTATTTAGACATCACTGACATACGGTGAAGAAAAACATCGTGAGGAAATCTGGACTTATAATTTCTAATTATAAGTTTTAAATCGCCAACCCGCATTGAGCAAGCGTGGTGATTAATGCTCTAACCTTCTCCATATGAGAAGAGGCTGGTGATGATAATGAAATGTCAAAAACGATACTTCTCTATAAAATTTGTATGAATCTCCAAATTATGACGTTATAGTATTTTTGCGTCAAATAGCTTATTTTTTTTTTAATATCGTACATTTTGTATATCGACATCTCGAAAAAGTATATGTAGTTATTTTTCATCACGACATTCATCATTCGACATTTTTAACTTACTTTTCTAAAATTACACGAAATATTTGATTTGATGATTCTGTGAATAGAAGATATTATTCCTACTTTTAACCTAATTCTATTTGCCGAGCTTCGAACCCGGGGGTACCACTGTTCAGGTATGGTCATTTACTTTACAGGTAGATTTGTCGCCATGGCTAAGGGCCTTGGTTAATTAGTAAACATTCGTAGCGCATAACGCGCGATCACATCTGAAAAAAATGTAGAACAATATATAGAAGAAATATCGATAGAAATGATATTCGTTTACCTTGTGATAGTCATCGCGGCCCCTAGAAGACACGATAATGAAGACAAAGCGGACGTCTTGGTAAGCGTTCATCAAAATGCTATGCAGCGACTTCATCTTAGCGTTTACGTTGACAATTTTGGGCTCCGCTACATTCATACCCATCTGTCTTCCGGTTTTAATAATCTGTAAATTATATATACATATATTGAATGCAAACATATTCTTTTCAAACATTTTTATAAGTCATTTAATTTACATTGATTCACCTCTTTTAATTGACCTTCACCGATATATTGATTTGAAATATCGTGTAGGTATAGTAAGTAGTAGTAAGTTATATGAGTGACGAGACATAGTGACTTACTCCCACTCTTTTGAATTTAGTTTCATTGAAGTATTATTCTAATACGACAAACTGACAAACTGACGGATATTTACAGAATCAATACTGACGGATTGAAAAGTTTTTACGTAAAATAAAAAAATATTTTAAGTAGAAAACGATCCTTGTGCGGGACAACATTTTCTAAAAACAATTAAGTTAATAATATTACCAGGTCTATCATTTGTTCGTAATTATTCCTCGGATCAGTATCGACGGCGATGAAAGCCCACGATGAAAGTGCTTCAGCTTTCAAAAGTTGATTAGCTTGCCATTGACCTTTCCTAAATAAACAAATAATTATTATTAAAATGTATGGTAGCAAGAAACGACACTGATACAAAAGCACGTGGCTTTTTAAAATTATCATTGTTTCATAATTTTCTGGCCTGCTTGAGGCGCTTGACCAGCAACCCCGGTAACACACAAATTTTGCTCACATACATATATGTATATAAACAAATTTGAATCAATTCATTCGCTTCTCTCTGTTGTTAAGTGTAAGGATCATGTCCCAGCCACCGTAAGCTGCGGATGGCCCGGACCAGACCCGAGCATACGGCGTGTAGCGTTCCACGCGCGCCTCAAAGAGCCAAAATACTCGCAGCCAAAATAGAGCAGGAGAAGGAACAAGGGGATTTTTAATCATTAAGTCTGACACTCCTCTCGCCTTACCCTGGGCGGGAGAAGTCATTTGATGATTTTCCCCTGGTATCGATGCTGGCTGGCCTGGCTTCTCATGCGTGTGGGTTAGAAACCTGACAAGTACCACTACCAATGTGACATTCTCCGAGTTTTATTGCGTACTTTCTTTCTATGATTATTGAGACACCACCCACATACGGTGAAGGAAAACATCGTGAGGAAACCTGGACTTATAATTTCTGATAATAAGTTTCAAATCGCCACTCCGCCTTCAGCAAGCGTGGTGATTGTGAAAGCTCAAATCTCCGTATGAGAAGAGGCCTTTGGTCAGCGGTAAGCACTTATAGGCTGATGATGATGACTGAAAGAAAAGGGTCGAACCTGCGACAAATAGGGAAGGAACGTATTGGTCCCCTGGGTATGCTCTGATCGTGCAGTCTTATTATATTTCATTAATTGTGGTCCGTCCCAGCTTTGCTTGGTTGTTATTTCTTGTCATAAGCGAACGTGTAGAAATTCTCGAGTCAAAAATATAGGTGAATCAGTATTTATAATTATACATTAGAAAGATAATATACCTACCTGGGTTTAACTTTTCCGTTTCCAATTTCTATAGTAGGAGGGTCCAGAACTTTAGCGTTCACGGTGTAAAACTTCTCCGAGATCTCCAATCCAAACCGTTTGAAATCTCGGTTTTGAGAATACTTCATCTATAAGAAAAACACATAAATTTATTTGTAATTTGAACGTTCTGTAGGTCAAACAAAATCGGCCTAATAATCCCTCCGGTCAAGGCTAGTAACACATTGGTAACTGTTCTGGTATCACGAGTATCAATGGGCGATGCTGGTTGGTAACTATAGGATATTGCAGGTATGACACACAATCATCCAATAAAAAAACTAAGATACATTAAAAAAGTCAAAAAATACAAAAATACGTCGTGTTGGGGGACCGCTTCTTTTTTTACGATCCCCAGGATCCCACAGATATACAGACAGACACGTAAAACTTATAACACCCCTCTTTTCCGTCGGAGATTAAAAAAGGGACTACAATTTGCTCTACTTACGTTAGAAATAACTTCTTTGATCTTCTGCAAGCGCTCATCAGGAGGTGTGGCTGCTTCCTTTACCATTTTTGATATTTGTAATTCATTCAACTGTCTTGTCAATGCCTAAAAATTATATTGTTGCGTTTAAAACAACTGAAGACTGCAAAATATTTTCTGGATTTTGGTGAATATGACAAGTAAAGACTCTTTCTACTCTATTTAAATATATATTTCGATGATTTAAATTATTTTTTTGATGCTGCAAAATATTATATGATTCAAAAATTTGTTAAAATATGTTTTGATTTTGTAAGTCTTATGTACAAGTCAGTGTAAGGAAAGGAATCCTCTATCCACATATTATTATGTCTACAGCAGCAAACAGCTGATCCATTCAAGAAATAATAACTTACCTGGCCCTCAGCCACATGTAACAGTTCGATAGGGAAGTAAATGCATCTATCTTTATTTCCAACCCACAGACAATTAAGTCTCGGATACCGCAACCTATAAGAAAAAGAACGTATTATGTTATTCTATGTTAGGACTGCACAAAAATCTACACAGTGCAAGATTTTGTAATAAACAATAATTCAATTTAACTTTGATAAGTGAAAAAAACATGAAATTTTTTGTGTGATACGTCGGCTAACGGGCAGACGGATTAGCTGATGGTAAGTAATCGGCGTCGCCCAATAAAGAAGTTGGCAAGTACATTACCGGCCATTGTTGGGGATTAATGGATGGAGGAGGAGGACTTCGGCAACCTCACTCACACTGCGAAACACAACGCTGTGGTTGTTTCACGCCGGTTTTATATGAGGCCGCGGTATCAAACATGGCTCACCCACACTTAACCTCTTGTCTGCCGGTATATGACAAACAATAGAAAACACGTGTCTCGCGTGGTTCTGCATTCCAGCATAACACGGGTTAAATATATATCATTCACAATAATTTTTTTTAATAACATAAAGCTGTCCTAATTTTTGTGACTATCCTACATAAACCAACTTCAATCATTAAAGACGAAAGAGGATTAATTTTGACTTACTTGTACTTTTTGTCTTTCAAAAAGTATTCCGCGACGGAAGTCTTTCGTGTGCGTCCGTCTGATTCCGTGATAGTGAAAACAAGTTCGTTGGGCGGGCCAACGAGACCGTTACAAATGAATTCGCGACGATGACCAGCTGTAGGCGTTTCACCGACCAACGTCGCAACCACCTGTGTACAAAATACTCACAAAATTTAACACATTCAGTGCCACCGAGTCGCACAGAGAGTCCACGTAAATTTTATTTCAGCGCCGTAGACTCGCCCGGCGAGTTGTGCGAGAAAATTACGAGAAATGTGGGCGGCATCTGAGATATCATTGTGACAATCTTAGTGGTAATGAAAGTGTTACGTAACTAAAATGTTCATTCTAATTTCCATTACATATTACCATGAGGATTACAAAAATGAACACAGAAATAATGTTATATACACTTTAGTAGAAAAAACATAATAAACGCACACACATAATTATGAAACGTATTTTTAAATAAATAATTTCTATAACAATTGGTTCTTTATTTTTAAATCGATACTAACCTTTAATCCTTTGACGAACGCGCAAAAATAATCAGCACCGCGTTGGTTATCGATTGGCTTAGTAGGATCCAAACCGAAATCTTTGATCATAGCATCAAGCACACTCTGGTGTCTCGGGAAGCCTTTATGCGCAACTGCAGATTTCAAATGAACATTTGGTACATAAAAATACACAAAAACATTCTCAATTTATATTTAAAACGCGATTTTTAATAAAAAGTAATCCTGCATTGCCACGTCTTTTTCGCATGTACAGTCAGGGGTCGAAAATGCAATTGCACTCTACCAATTTTAAAACGACCAAAATATCTTTGTAGAATAGAGTCAATGGTTGAGGACTGCTTTAATTTATAGCATAGAATCAATATAAATTATTGAATAAACTGGCTGTGAACCATTGAACTTTTACTACAAAGAAATAGTCATTTTAAAAAAATTTTACAAAAAAAACCGCCTTCAAAAAAAGTCAAGCAATAAAAGTTCCTACACTAAAAAGTACAAAATAAAAATTTGAACTGCTGTAAAGAAATTTAATTTATAGGTAAACTTATTTGTCATTAATATTTTGCAAATATTCAAAATTTATTAGGGTACTTATTTTTGGAGTCGAAATTCGATTGTATAAAAATACAATCGAATTGAGAACCTCCTCCTTTTTTTGAAGTCGGTTAAAAATTGGTAGAGTGTAATTGTATTTTTGACCCCTGACTGTACATGCACGATTACAATTTCCATTACAGCCTCCATCTTAGCATTTTATTGAATGTGAAATATCTAAAGCTGATTCTCAGTAAACAAGGTACACAATTCTCAACTTTCAACTAATAGGAACTGAGTTCATTATCACTACGTAGTATAAAACAAAGTCACTTTCTCTGTCCCTATACTTACCTGAATTTTTCAAACTACGCAACATATTTAGATGAAGGTTTTTTAATAGGTAAACCTTCCTCTTCAGTCACAAGAGAAAAGTTTATAGTATGTGTAACAATATCCATTAGATAGTAACGAAATTTAATGAGTATTACACCCGGTTTCTGAAAGGCTTGTCAATGCTAAAATTTACTAATCTCCTGTTAAATCTCTTGTCAAGTCATCTGATGGGTTGTTGATAATTCAGTCAACCAATCTGATGACTTGACAAGAGATTAAATTGATTTTAACATTGATCGGCCTTTCGACAACCGGGTGTTAGCTTTGCAATCGTACGTTTTAAATAAACTTCAAAGGTAAGTAACAAAATATTTTAATAAATATAAAACGTCAGAACTTACCATCAATATTGATGAATGATTTATTAGTGAAAATGGCTGATTGGAACAATCCTGTCCACATTTCATAGCCGTAGCCCAAATCTACGGGACGAGATGGCCGCTTGAAGAATTGACGGCCAGCCTAAAAATTAATACAATAGTCAATTTATAACAGTGCCTCGTCGCTCTTGTGAGAGACTTTATTAGAAATCGAGTGATAAATTAGTAGAAGGACCTTTAGACTTTTAGAACACCTCTGTCGGCTATAAACTACAAAAAAAAAATGGGAAAAATTCGCCACCATCGGCTATTTTGTGTCAAACGACGCTATTTTCAAAGTGCATTTTGTTCAATTAAGTAGTTACGAGTTTTGCGTCTATTTAATGTCGTATCATAATGTTAATTTGTACCTTCACGTATGATTCCAACGCCCCCTGGCGTAAAATGACGTCAATACATTGGATCTCCTCAGTAGGATGGCACAGAGACGAACCACGCGATCTCATGTAACTGTTGAAAAATAAGTAATATTTTTTTTATTGAATAATTTGGATGGGCTAAACGTCTTGTCATACATGTCGTTAATAAAATTTTACATACCTAACATAAAATAAAGATAATAATAATTTAAATAAGTATATTATCATCCTAAATATTGATCTGCCATCCCTCAGAGGCAGAGGCTCATGCTGTAGAGCCATCCATTTAGCAAAGTTGTGATCTAAGACGAACATTATCACTATGTTGACAAAAAATGTACATAAGCACTAGGCGTGTTTATAACCACTAGTTATGTAAGTTTATTTAAAGCTAAAGGTAGCTCGTAAGTATAGGTATAGGTAGTATACATTATTTTACTAGATAGGGATAGCTTCCTTCTGTTCTAGAGCCCTTCAACTCTAAAGACAGCATGATTGGAGCGACTACAACATACACATCACACCCAGACCAGGAACAACAATTTGTGGATCACACAAAGTGTTGTTCCGTGCGGGAATCGAATCGCAGTTACCCAACCACCGCGCCTAACGTACAGTCACAAAAAAAATCAAATAAACTACGGTTTACGAACAATAATTATGTTAATTAATCTTATTTCATTACGATGACTATGCATATAGGGTGATTTTATGTCGCGACATTCAATTGTAGACCAGTGTGCACTTCAACTCGCTACCGAACGTACCACTGTGAGATTCGCCTAACAATCACACTGTTTTTAACATTTAAAAATAAAACTTTTGGGACTTCTAGAAGTGTTTACACTCACAACTCCAAACTCAACTATCTACGAGTACTTCATAACAATTAATTCTACAAAGGTACAAATGTAGAATTATCCCTTTTTTAAACAAATAATAAGTACATAATAAACATTTGTTTAAAAAAGGTATAACGATAGAAAAATGTAGATATATAGATATATAAATGTAGATAAAGTAACTTCATAGTATTGAATACTTACTTTTTAATATTCTCTAAATCGACAACTCCAGTTGATTTCATTGAAACGTCAAAAGTCATAGTTTTTCCATTCTGATCCAGTAACTCGACCTAGAATAAGTAAAAAAATTACCACCTATTCTCATATGCACTGAAAAAACTGAATTGGGGTCTTTTAATGAATTGAAAAAAAATTATTCGGCCTTACAAATATTACGAAATATATGCGAAGCAAAAGATAAGGTATTGTTAAGCAATTTTTATGATGGTCTAGAATTTTGTTGTTACGACGTTATCGACAGGTCATTACGGCCTGAATGACATTACTCTACATAAGAGAAGTTTCCTCAACATTTGCAAACTCTACATTTGGCGGCAAGCAAGTAAGAGATCGATGGAGCTAGCTCGTACATCCTTGTTAATGTTGGTCATGTTTTACTGGTAAAATTGTATAAATAATACTTACAGTGGCATGGAACCGCTCCGAAGATGTAATGCCCTTGAGAGGATTCAATGAGTAACAGTTTTTCATCTGATCAAACGCTATCAACTCGTTGGCGAAAAATTTGTTTTTCACTTTCATAAACACGTCAGGCAACATCTTCTTTGGTCGGTCGGGGTTAACGCTAACGTCATATCGGTACTGCAAATAATAATAATCACTTATTACTTATATTTTCTGGAACAGTGTTACTTTTGTGTGTGTCGTGTGTCATATATGTAGTAAAAAACAAAGTTGCTTTCTCTGGCCCTATATCCCTCATCATCATCATCAGCCTATAAATGCCCACTGCTGAGCAAAGGCCTCTTCTCATACTGAGAAGGTTAGAGCATTAATCACCACGCTTGCTCAATGCGGGTTGGCGATTTCAAACTTATAATTAGAAATTATAAGTCCAGGTTTCCTCACGATGTTTACCTTGATCGTATGTCAGTGGTGTCTAAATAATCATAGAAAGTACATATAACTCGGAAAAAGTCACATTGGTACTTGCCAGGTTTCGAACCCACACCCTCATGCATGAGAAGCGGACTGCTTAACCTCCGGGCTACCACGACATCAATACCTATATCCCTATGTATGTTTAAATATTTAAAACTACGCAACTGTTTTTCATGCAGTTTTTTAATTGATAGAGTGATTGAAGAGAAAAGTTTTATGTAAAATATAATAACATGCTTTAAATAGTGGAGAAATTTTGAATCAGCTTTGCACCCGTGCGAATGCGGGGCGGGTGGCGGTCGGTTATATCAATATTAGAAACAGACACTCCAAATATATTTAAATGTTGGTACGTATATATATTTGTGTATGTATAGATATAGATAAGCTGATGCTAAGTATTTAATATCTTTCATATATACTTACAATTTTGAGAGCTTTAAATTCCATTTCCAAATAGTTGACCATGACTTTTATTGGCATAGCACGAACACGGTTACCCGGAATTTTCGTTGGTATCTGGTACCGGCACATAGTAGGTTCCAGGGACTTAGGGCCACGTCCTGTAGGAATCGGAGTAGTTGGCGTCGTTTGCGGTGTTAGCTTTTGCGTTGCGATGTTAGCAGAAACTACCTGTGGCGAGGGACCCACAGGCACAGGAGTGCGTCCACCGCCTCTTCCTGCACCGCTTTTCGCTCCGCTCCAGCATCGAGGAGGAGCAGGTTGCGCAGGTTCTGGCATCTGCACTATGGCTGGAGCTGCTGATGATGTTGATGATTCAGCCTTGGGAGGTTCCGCTGATGATGCTGATGGGGCAGGCTTGGGAGCTTCTGCTGATGATGCTGATGGTGCAGCCTTGGGAATTTCGGCTGGCTGTGATGCTGAAGCTTCCTGAGCCTCAGTTGATGGAACTGGTCCTGCTTTTTTCTTCTTAGGTCTTCTCTTCCTGTGTCCTGATAAGCCCAAACCTAATCCAAATTCTTCTTCTTCGACAGACTTCGGTAGTTCTTTTGTTGCTGGTGCCACAGAGCCCATCTCTGTGGCAGATGGCATACCTTTTTCTGATGGCATAGCCGCAGCCTCCGATTGAGTTTGGGATGGTGCTTCTGCAAGAACTTCGCGCTCGGCTTTACTAGCCTGCTCTTTAGGAGTTGATTCTTCTCTGGAAGGAGTCTCCTCTTTAGAACTTGGTTCATCTTTTGATGTAGATTCTGAATGTGCAGGTTTTCTTGTTGCTTGCAGAGCTTGTAAAGCTTGCAAAGATTTTTCTTTTTTCTCTTTTTTCTCCTTTTTCTTGCGAGCTGCTGCTGAAAGATTGGAATCGTCCTCTACTTGAACAGCTGCCACCTCCGGAGAAGTTGATTCCTCAAAAGTCACAGTGCTCTCTGAAGGCTCTTCTTCTTTCTGCACATTCCTTTTTCCGTCTTTCTTTTTGGCTAGAAAAAATATCGGAAAATCACTAAATGTTAATAATTTAAATTAAAGTTGGTTATTGCTTTTCTAGAATAAATTTTCTGACTTATATATATAGGTATACGAAACTATTGCCGTGTTGTGGTCCTCATTCAGCATAAAAACCAAATTGTTAGAGTGAATTAGCAAGATATAACAAAACTAGAATCCCATTTCTTTTCTTGTTAGAAGTTTATGGTAACTCTTTTATTAATTACTGATTTTTTATTAATAAAATTATTCACTCAGTTTCAATATTAATGTCAAGAAAGTAGCAAGTATAATACCTTATTTAACCGAATTAATTGTTAATAATGTTAATATAAACATTTTAATATGATTATATGGTACACAGTACCTACTTAGAAAATCATTTTAGTAGGTAGTTACACAGGTACTTAATTAGTCAGTGAACGAAATATAGGTACTAAATTATGAAAAAAAAAACTACATAAACAGCAATGGAACTAATTTACATGAAACATTTTATTGTTATTATACTAAAAAAACAAAAAACCATGCTGGCCAATAACATGTCACAGATTACTTTTATTAACCATCTTCAAAAAAGAAGGAAATTCTTCTGAATCACAACATTAAGTCTGGTTACAAAGGAAACTAGGTACTCGGGTTATGAATAAAATTCCTTGCCACATTTCCCCCAATGAGATACATGTGTTTCTTCAAAAAAGGTTTGATTGTTTTCCTCCATGGTTAGCAATGCAATCTTAAACTGTGATGCTTCCAGTATTGCAGAGTACCAATTACACGGTTGCTACTGTAAGTAGTTAAAAAAAATACTACTTGTGGCCAAGTACATGATGTAATATGAATTAATATGAAACCACCTAAAAATATAATATGTCATCTAATCTTCTAATCTTTTCTTTTACCAGTTAAACAGTAATGGTACTTCACCACCAATCATTTCAGTGTCAAATACTACTAAGGATAAAAGATAGTTTGGTTAATCTTATTATTATTATATATAAACCAGATAAAAAACCCAAAATTTCGGACTCAACGGCCCCAACTTATTTAAATTACAAAATCAGAGTGAAAATTACAGGTTTCTTGTATATTTATTAAAATTAACTACCTATTATATTATTCTGTAAAATAATAACTAAATATCCAATCAATTAAAATTAAAAGCAAAAAGAGAATAAGTCATTCATAAAGATGGTGCATACAACTGTGCAATGACTGCATGCAACTATGATTGCACAACAATTATAACTGTTACAATCATATTTATTTAGTGCAGCTTCTCAAAGGATTCTTTGCTATCTTTAATAACCAAATATATTTAAAAGAAATATCATAAACTCTTACAATAATCGCCCTCAATTAAAGATTTTCATTATATCATTATTTTGACCAATAACACAACTAGTGTTGGATTTACACAACTGGAAATATCAAATGCAAATGGCCGGAAAGTCGTAAATCGAATCAATTGATTTCTTTATTTACTTTAAGACATTTTATTAATACAATAACAAATAATGCTCAGTTACTTACGTGGTTTCCCCATTTTGATAGCTTCTTATTCAATGTAGTAGCTGTAATATAAAACACACTATGGTGAGCTAACTGCTGAACTATTATTAAATATTTATTTATATTTAATTAATACCTAAGTATTGCAAATTTGACTTTTATTTCATAGCAGATTGGACTATTGGAGTGAAATGAAATGAATAACAATGAATGACGTCACATAAAATACTAGACCTGGCGTATTCACATCGTATTCGGATACAATATCCGATATTAAACCAGTACCTGCGAAGCCGATACCGATATGGATACTAGACATGACAATATCCATATCGTATTCACATGATTCGCGTATATTATGTATAAAATCTGCATATTGATTGATAGAGGTTACGACAGTTAAAGAAAAACAGGAAATTTTCAAAGTCGGCTTCGTTCGGGTAAACTCGTACAACTCAATGCAAAAGGTTTATTCTCAAATAACATACTATTGAGTGACAGTATTGAAACAGTATATACTATTTGCAAGTATATAGATAGAGATACGCATCAATATATGTATTTAATACCAATATCCGATTTGAATATCTGATATTGGCAAAAAGCGAAAGTAAGTACGATATTCAGATAAAGCAATACGACCCAACCCTATCAAATATAGAATGTTGTTCTAGATGGTAAGGAGAAAAATCAAGAATTCCCCTACACTAGTGTTGCTACATTAAAATTATTAAAATTTAAACTTAGGTTAAGAGACTTATAATCAACACTAGTTACTTATAATTAAAATTAAATATTATAATAACTGTTATAAAGAAAAATTGTGAAAATATTTTTTAAGTATACAAAATAAATTAGACAAAATCAGGATATCTTGTCTGTCTTATTATGTATAGGTCAAACACTTGTCTATGTACACAGAGATTGTGTAATATTTTTTGTTGCACTCACTCAATTCTTAACTTACGCAATTTGATCTGAATCTGTGTCCTTAGATAAAATATTTGAAGTATGCGCTATCTATTTTATGAGTAGGTATAATTATTATAAGGTGTAACTATAACCAGTCAACCAACTTTTAATAAACAGGATTTTTTCATTCATAAATCAATCCCGTAAAAATATCTTGTTTTGTTACAAGGACAATACTGTCAAATTACATTTTTATGAATTTTGGTTATTTGCTCACAAATTTACCTACTATCCGCTATAATGTTGAAGCTCAAACTAAATCATCTTTCTCAACATTAGTCCGGTCGGCAGCATATCATACCTGTATCTCATATATATGATAACAAAATCAATAATAGGAGTATTTCTTTTCAGGTAACATACTATTTTCTAGTTTTTTATGCTGACTTGACCATTATGAGCTTTAGAGTAACTCACTTTTTATTATCACTCATTGCAACAAATGCACTTTCCGGGTGTCTTTGACATGGTTTTTATGTTTTCTTAAATATAATATAATATGAATATGTAAATTAAACATAAAAAATTTAATGTTAATGAGGTAGGTGTATACTGGTATTCTTTAAAAATGCTATATAGTTACTTAGTGTATGATGAAATGATAATGATACATTGGAAATGAAATTATTCAATTCATAAATGCAATTACCAAATATCAATTTACTTTGTATATTTTACGTTAAATGTATTAAATACAGTTCTATTGTCGAGCAAACAACAGTACTGGTAAAATATTCATGATCATAGCCCACCTTAGGCGAGGTTTTAGACGTGTCTAAAATCGATAGTTATCTATCTATGTAACAACATATGTACTAGTCTGATCGTGAACTCTTTGAACTACAAATCTTATTTATTTTCTACCAGAATGCACACTTATCGATAAAGATGAGTTCTGAAAGTGTAAGAGATAAAATAATTAACTTATTTTGGCGAAGTGGATGTTTAATCACAAAAAGAATGTATCTTCATACCGTCGTATTGTTTCTATTTCAAATTTTTACAGTTTTGTAATAACATACTTAATAATTTTACCTTCGAAAGTGTGGTATCAGCGGTTTAATAAATAATATCTTGAAATAGTGCACTATTCTCACTCCACAGGTAAATCCAAAGAGTATAAATAAACACTATATAGGTACGTTCTATGTAAAACTGTCACAATATCATAGTGTTTATGTTTATGTGGTGCAATAATTATGTTCACTCACTCAATCAATAGTTTCACTAGAGATGTTACTACTTTTAGTTTTTTATATGAGAGTAGCAAATAAACCATTGATAAAGACAAATAATCAACCCGCATTGAGCTAGCGTGGTGATAAATGCTCAAACCTTCTCCGTGTGAGAAGAGGCCTTTACTCAGCAGTGGGCACTTATGGGCTGATGATGATGATGATGATGATGATGAAAGACAAATATATTTTTAAACAGGAAAACAATTACTGATATTTATTTTATTTTTCAAATGAATAATTTGTCTTTCAAACTTGCCCTTTGCCTGTTTTGTTTAGTGTACGATGTGGTTCGATAGACCGAAACTAAGCATCACTATTTTCCAAACTACAATCTGTGGCTCTTTCCATAGACAGATATTATTTTAACCATAGATTTAGTAATATTGTAGGTCTGTGATTTTAACAGATGTAAGCACCATTGAAGTTATTCTATACGTTGAAAAGAAATGCTGAAAGATATGATTGGATAAAATGTATTACTAGCCAATCAAATCAAAAATAAATAATAAAACTTAAAAACAGATTACAATACTCAACAATCCTAATCAAGACAAAAAAGAAACAACTTCTCAAAAGCAAGAGTGGAGAAGTATATTTCAATGTTGTGAATGTGAAACGAATTTTATTTAGTACAAAGTACGTGAGAAATATATATGAAAAACATTTAGAAAGTCTAAGTTATTCAAATAATTTATATAAATTGGATTAGGAGTCATTTAGAACGAACTTTTAGTGTCATTTTAGTCATGTGTATTGAAGTGTTTACGGCTTTTACACTCGAGAGTTCTAACGTGTCTTTATTTGAAATATGGCCTATTACAATGCCGGCAATGTTGTAGCCGTACCTAACTCACCTGACCAAATTGAAGACACAAATAGTACAGACGATCTTACTATAATACCATTAGAAAAAGATAGTTTCGGTGAGTATTTGTGCTAATATTGAAAGTATTGAATATAAAGATTATTATTTAGCGTTATTATTACAGCAATATGCGAATTATGTGGTCGCGTTGGCCGTCGGGGACAATTCTACCCAAGAAACAATAAGTTTTGTTCGCTTAGATGCCACGCGAGTAATTCGAGAAGACGACATTGTAATTGGAGGTTCAGATTGATGGAAGGTGCCGAACACATGGCGGGCATGATACCATTGGAGCCTCTGCCGCAGCTGCAGCACTGGCAGTCCACAGTAAACGATTTGCAGGTAACAAACTATTATGATTCCTTATAGTATTATCCATCATTGTAACAGCTGACTATGTTTACGAATCGTAGAGTATGTTTACCTTGTAAACACATTATTTTGGTGTTTGTCTTTATAAACAATAGTAGTTCTTTATAAACAATAGTAGTGGGTACATTACTTACTTGTTTTAATACTGATTTCTAATTGCAATTATACATTTGCATCAATAAATCAACATTGTATCTAGGTAACTAAACCAAAATAACTTGTATTTGTTTTAGGCTGGACCAATAAAACAATCAGCTGCTGTGGTAGCAAACAGTTATGAATGGAAGGATGAATTATTTGGTTGTGATTTCCTTGCTGCACCAGTGAGTTTATTTAAGCATGCTCCGCTACATGAAATGTGGGACAGCACCTTTGAGGGCATGAAAGTAGAAGTTAAAAATACAGACTGTGAAAACTATTCAGACAAACTTAGTGACTATTTCTGGGTAGCTACGGTATTAAAAGTAAGTATTTTTCAAGACTAATCTTTCTAATTAATTGAATAGAGTTAAAATAGTGTGAACTTTTACTTCACAATCATCATGATGATGATGACAGTGGGTGATTTGTGGCTGATTACCACAAATCACCCACTGTTTAAAAAAGCCCAACTCAATAACCTTCTGATCTACCAGGTCAAAGGGAAGTTGAAAAAGTAAGAGTTTTTTACTTTTTTTTACCACACAATATTTTTTCTTTACTAATTTTTTAATTGTTGCATTAATTAATTTAGGTAAACCCTTTACCTAATGCAACAATAATTAATTTAGGTAATTGCATTAATTAATTTAGGTAAAGGGTTTACCTAAATTAATTAATGCAACAATTAACACCTTTAACCAAAACTTAGACAACTATGTACCACACAAAACAAATAAACAATTCAATTTAATAAACCCAAAACATGAGACATAATCATTTTATACCAAAGTAGTACCAAGCAAGTAACTGTGTAAATACTTATTTTACTAAATTCAAACTGCATTACATAATACATTTACTTAATACACTCATTTTTATGTAAACTTCAATATTAAATGAATCAAAGTGGCGAGTTAAAAGGTGCTTTTGACTGCCTCCATAAAACTGTTGGAAAGTTATTTGCTTTCCTTTCATCAAAACATACTAAAATTGAATGGTTTCTATATTTTGATCTTGATAAATTGTCTTGTTATGTCCTATGCAAAGTAGGTATGTTCAATGGAAGATTTGCTTAGGACACTAGGTTCGACATAATATGAAAACACAATTAACAAAGTATTCAATCACTTTCAAACATAATTAACAAAGTCTCATTAAAATTCTGTTTGCAGGTAAAAGGATACATGGGTCTTCTACGCTATGAAGGTTTTGGCAGTGATGATTCAAAAGATTTTTGGGTAAACCTTTGTTGCTCAGAAGTGCACCCTGTTGGGTGGTGTGCCACTAGAGGCAAACCTCTAATACCTCCTCGTAGTATTGAGGATAAATATACTGACTGGAAAAAGTAAGTAAATCTATATTTGTTGAAGGGTCTCCTGAGGCTGTCTTAACTAAATTATAAAAAAACTGCACCAGGTTTGGTGCAAGAAAATGGTACAGGAGGGAACTAAAACAGAAATGAAATATGTGTAGAAGTTTGAAATTTAAATTAGTTTTTCTACAAGCATTTGCAAGTGTGACTCTCCAACAACAAGCATTCTTTGTTTCTGATTCTAGATCCTGGTGTTAAAAAATCTCATCATATTTAAAAAGATATGTTCTCTATTATGTTCTCTTTTCTAAAGAATCTGTTTGTTATACTTATTTAAAAAAAGGCAACCATGGACTTTCTTGCTCATTGTTCTCTATCGGCATCTACCCTTTGGAGAAACAAATAACTTCAACAAGGGGACTGACCGACAGACTGACAATTTTTATCATTAAGCTTTGTTTGACATTCACAAGTGCATGTAACAGTCTATCAATATACCTATTTATTTATATTTTCTATTGTAATTTATTTTTTTCTATTTTCAGATTCCTTGTAAAGCAGCTGACTGGCGCGCGTACTCTGCCCGCGAATTTCTACACAAAATTAAATGATAGTCTTGTATCTAGGTTTTCTATTGGTGTCCTTATGGAAGTTGTTGATAAGAATAGAATATCACAAGTCAAGGTATGACCTTTGCATGCTTATTTTTACCAATATACATTAAATTAACTGCCCCTTAAATTTCGACTAAATGTACATCAAATTCATATTTAATTGACGTATTAAATACCGTCAATTTCTGTTTACAGGTAGCTACAGTATGTGAAATAGTAGGCAAAAGGTTACATGTCAAATATTATGACAGTACACCAGAAGACAATGGGTTCTGGTGTCATGAAGACTCTCCACTAATACACCCAGTAGGCTGGGCCTTTAGAATTGGCCATCCTTTAGATGCGCCTCCTAGTTATTTACAAAGGGTAGCCGCTGGTCGGCTCATACCGAATGACAGTACGCCCGACATGTTTTATAAGTATCCAAGTAATGAGCCGCCATTATTTGCACAAGGAATGAAACTCGAAGCCATTGATCCACTCAATTTATCAGCTGTTTGTGCTGCGACCGTTATGCAGATACTGAATGAAGGTTATATGATGATCAGAATAGATTGTTACCCTGCTGATGCGTCTGGTGCGGATTGGTTCTGCTATCATCAAAGATCGCCGTGTATATTTCCAGTTGGTTTTGCACAAGCTAATAATATACCACTTGTGCCCCCTGCTGGGTGAGTTTATTTATTTCTAGTCATTTTTTAGTCATGGGTTCTAACTTAAATTTAAAATGAATCTTGTACACCACCAAATGAATTGGTGAAATGCTCTTTTTGTTTCAATTATCTACTGGGCAGATTTTACTCATGTTTTGTATATAATCAGCAAAGACAAAAACAACAATGTGGTTATACATACAATTGCGACGAATTTTGTCCGATTCTCATAGATACCAGATAAGCGCAAAAAATTTCATCAAAATTGATCAAGCCGTTTCGGACGAGTATGTCAACGAAAACTGTGACAAGATAATTTTATATATTAGATAGAAGATCAGACGTTCGAATGCCTGGGGACTTTGGATTCTTATTTTTGGCATACCAAAATATTTTCAAAATTCAATGTAATAACAAAAATTTGTAGAGGTAGCTGAAATAATTTTCTGATAACCGCATCAAAATCGGTTCAATGTACATTGAGTTCACTGCGGATAAAAAAAGCATGTTTAGGTCAAACTGAGAATCTCCTGTTTTGAAGTTGGTAAATCGATACGATTATGTGTAATAGTAATTTATTCTTCCAGTATAACAATGGAGGAGTTCAGTTGGGAACAATACCTGGCGGTTTCTGGTGGACAGCCTGCCGATCGTTCGTTGTTTGCGGCGAGAGGTCACGTGGTATCACATGGGTTTGTGGCCGGCATGCGCTTAGAGTGCGCCGACCTCATGGACCCACGACTAGTCTGCGTTGCTACTGTCGCAAGAGTTGTTGCTGATTTACTGAAGGTAACCTTTACTGACAATTTCTTACTATATTTAAGATTCCAGCCGGGGTTCCGGCGTAAGCGCAATAAGGCATGGCCTTGACTAAAACCGGATGTAAGACATCACGCCTCTGATCACTTCCCTAAAGACATGGCAGTGCTCAACTTAAACAGGGTATACCGCCACTCCGTCCTCCCCACGCTTGTGTACGTGTGTCCATGAGCGGCGTGATTGCTTACCATCATGTAATACGTCTGCTCGTTTGCCGACCTACTTATTACACAAAAAAAGCAGTAAGGCAATGCACCTGTGACTCCTGTGGTGTTGCAGGTGTCCATAGGCGGCGCCGATCGCTTACCATCAGGTGATCCGTCTACTCGTTTGCTTCCGTCGTATTCTATAAAATAAAGTATGGTCTGAATTCTTTAAGAAAAAAATAAAGAAACCTCAAAATCCGAGCGACGCGACATGCGGGCTTACAACGCTGCCCGACGTATCAATGAATCTATCGAATGAAACCATAAATTCTTCTGTTGTGAAACTCCAAATGGCGACTCCAAAGACCAAGAATGGTAGCAAAGCTTATATCGTGGAAATCAGAGTTCATTAGAGTGCTCAAGAGGTTCTACGGTCAGTTGTACACCTTAACGTGGTGGGCACGCTCGATGACAGAATCACAACATAACTTGAGCGAGCCGGTGGAAAACCGATACTTATGAACTTCGTAGTAAGTGGCGGTTTTCCATCCACATCGCAAAAGTTATTTAAATTAAGAATAATGAAGATGCAGTTTATTTACAGAGAGCATAATGAACTTTCTGTAACAAAGTACATGCCTATCTAATTTGAATACAAATACCAACCTACATCTCTTATGTTGCAGGTTCATTTTGACGGCTGGGGGATGGAGTATGATCAATGGTTATGGGCGCATAGTACCGACGTGTACCCTGTAGGCTGGTGTCGCGCTGTGGGTCATAGGCTGGAGGGCCCGCTACAACCACCGCCCCGGCCACCGCGCAAACACCCTCCAAAACAACCGAGACGAAGGCGTAAGCAACAAGGTATGTTATAAAATAAGTACGTCATACCATCGTAGGTTTTACCTAGGATTCTGCTCCACTTCAATAGAAATTGCAGAGTGTTACCCAATTATAATCCTTATACACTTTTAATCTTATTCATGCAAAGGACTAATACATCAAAATAACTAGCTACATATATAAGATTTATTCGAACATGATCATATGATTGTTTAATATATCACTTATCACTCACATACTTGTCATATACTTATAGGTTTAAAATCAGCATCACAACCACCAAATACAACAGAAGATAGTTCACAGAATTCAGACATGGGTGATACTAAGAGTCTTTCTCCCCCTACAAGTGTTTCTGAAGTATCACCAGATGCAGAACCTCGGCTTGAAACCGACTCCACACCCTCGAAAATGGACGTGGATTTAGATATGGAATCTAAGGATAGTATCGAACAACCTGAAGAAACTCTTGCTGATATGAAAGTAGATAGTCCGGTAAGTAATCTGAACTAAAGTTTTTGGAAGGGTAATTATAGTGGTCCAATTAGGTAGGAAGATTTACAAAGTATTTACTTACACAAATTTATATATAAACTGCCATTAGCATATACATACTTTGAGGCCTCATGTGGCACTGTCACCATGTATATTATTAGTTAACAAACCGAATAGTTATTTCCAGTACAATAAATTTGTTGTAGTTCAATTCTTATTAATGTATTTAATAATTAATTGTACTCTTAAATTTCAGAATACACCTACAGACAAATCCCCAACCACACCTACGGATATATCACAACACACACCAACAGACATATCACAAGATTCAAATTCAATTCAGAATATAGCACAACTATCCCCAGCAGTTTCCATGGAAGATACGGACAGTGACAAGGTGATACCTAGACTAGTCAATACCTCAGTGCCCTTAGATGTCCTAAACTCCGTCGACCCAGAACATTGGACCACAGCAGATGTTGCCAAATTCCTTACAGTCAATGACTGTCAGCCTTACTGTATTAACTTCACCAACATAACTGGTCCAATGATGCTTCAACTAACAAAAGACGAAATCATCGAACTATTAGAAATGAAAGTAGGTCCTTCATTAAAAATATTTGATTTGATACAACAATTAAAATGCAAAATAAAACAACCTCAGAGTAGATTGCTAAATAGTTTTAAATAGTGTTTATTTGAATAAGCCACCTCACTACATTTTTGAAAAGTTCTGTTGCACTGGCTAGCAGTTACATACATGAATTGATAATTACCTCAGGTTTAATAAATCTTATTGAGTCTTGCCAACTTAAACCGTAAATGATTTTTCGTCATATCTCATCAAGATTCTTTGTTGAAGACAGCAAAAGGTTATGATACCCTAGTTGGGATAGTGCGTAGAAAAATAAAAGTGCAATCATGAACTTTATAATACAAACATGTAGTGAAGTCGCTTATACACATTAGTAATTCAAATTTGTAATATCCCCGCCTATTTTTTGGTGTCGCAGATTATTCTGTGTTGTTTGCTAATCAGACAGCCACCAGAATTTGACATCACAATTTGTATGAAAGATTCGTCTTTTATACTCGCCGATTAATTATATTTATTAACTTTCTTTTGAGGTATAAATAGCTTTGAGATTTTAACGAAGCAATGTAGGTAGATTATTTTGGCTGTTTTCAAAGTATGTGTGGAATTTTATACCCTTGACAAAACAAGTGAACAGTTTAAAATGCCTAGGTACCACCACATTTATCCTTATTGCATGGAATGCCTCGATAGAAAAAGCATGTATGCATGTTTTACCTAGATGATATTTTCTTACAATTTCATATTGTTATGGCTCATTGACGTTTATGGTTATTACCTTTACTCTTACTGTGATCGTAGCTGAGTATTGTTTTAACATCAATTTATCGGGTTATTCGCTAAAAATTTGTTTGCCACAGTGGGGGCGAATGGGAATATCCCAATTTTAGTATCTTACCGATGTCTGTAAAAGCAATGGATATTTTATATTATCACATCATATGCTTAGCTTGTCTGAATACATAAGGTCCATTCCACATTTTTAATTACTTAATTTATGTTGCAATCTAGCTAATAGCTAACATGGATGTGTTACGCAATTGATTTTGTCAGTGCTATTTTATGGCTTTTAGAAAATTGCATAATCAAACATGAGTTGTATTCACTCTTTTTTACTATTTGATAATTTTTGTGTGTAATTTTAACTGATCTCCATTTAAAGTAAAATATATTTGCATGTTGCCATTAAATTTTTTTAGCTCGAGCCAAATTAATTGTAGTGTTTTAACCAGTCAATTTTATTTAAACTATAAACTGAAAGGTGTTAACTTTGGACAATGTAATAATGTGGCATATAATTGTGGAAAGTCGCAAAAACTCAAACTACTAATTATACAATGTTACTGAGTATTTTTATATAAGAGTTTAACATATATGTGTTGTCTACATTATACATTTGTGAATATGAGATTCATAAAACCTGCCCCAATTCCTTCATAATTCTATTAAAGCAATAAGAAATGAGATATATTCAAATCACTTGTACTTCAATCAATATGCATTGTCAAATCTGTATTTTGTAATAGTCAATTTTAAAATCATGAATTTGGTATATGTGTGGTTGAAATGTAACTAAGATTCCGTTTATGAGCACAACATTACCTGGGCAGTAACGAAATGAGTTGTAAATATAGTTTTTATAGCATTCCTCATTTTGTTGCGTCGTATTGGTATTATTTGGAAGACAATGGTGATAAACGGGATTTTAAATTAAAACAGTTTTATGCTTAGACAAAGTGTTGTATTCAGTGATAAATACATTGCCTTTTTAGAGACTTGAATAAGAATTTATATCATTTAGTACCATCAGCATAGTAATGTAATAGTTTTAATGTCCTGGCATTAAATTGAATGAATAAAATATTTGTTTTAATTCTTTTCTCTTGCACCAAAAAGTTATTTGTATCAATATAATATCTAGTTTTATCAAATCCACATGTACATTTAATGTTATTATTTTTAGTCATAAACTATACATTCTTTCTCTTCAATCGAAGCACCAACTCCATTAAATGATATCACTATGACATACATAACATTATTTCAAATCATGTATATAGATTCAGTCTTATCATTCATAAATATTTATATATTTCGTCACCAAAAAACGTCTTTATTGGTACTCAAATCTTGCAGTATTTGACTTGTTATTAATCTGAAACAAACATGGAGTTAATTAGTAACAACAAGCCATCTATGAATTCCTAAATTATTATCAATCGACAATGTATACCTAATATACAATATTTCCCGATAAATTATTTTTCATTGCCTATGTAATAACTTAATCAAAACAAAATAATAATCATCATCATCAGCTGGAAAACGTCAACTGCTAGACATAGGCCTCCACATCGAACGACAAGTTCGTCAGTCGACTTAGCGGGAGGCTTGCCCACGCTACGTTTTCTGGTCCTCAAAATAATAATTAGCGCAGAGGTGAGGAAAGCTCATAAAAAATATCACCTTATAGTGTGCAACTGCACTGTCGATGCATAAAGCGCGCAGCACAGAATATTCCCAGATCTTTGTGCATGACATTTATGATATTCAGAACACCAGTAAGTTTCGCACATACTTCCAATCTCATTTGTTTCTGAAATAAAAAATATTTTGAGTTGAAAACAAACTGGCATAGTTGGTGCAAGTGGCTCACTGACCTCTATAATAACGCTGGACTGGCTATTGGTACCAACTTTTTGTGCCTATTTGAAAATCGCCATTTTGGCGCTGACGGCAGAAGTGAGGGGGAATGGAACTAATACTAGTGTTGACAACAAATGGTTTGATATCGATAAAAACTTTACTGATATCGACAACAATTACAAAAATATTACTGACGATATTTTTAATATTAAATTGGTTTAGAATCTAAATTATTGAATAAACTGGCTGTACATAGGACATATAGGTACATAAGATATTTTTTTTAAATATGGTTTGTAACATAAAATACGTTCAGACTTAAATAACTATCACACAACACCATCTAGTCCCAAGTTAAGCAGAGCTTGTGTTATGTATCAGACAGCTGAGTGGAAATCGAACCCATGATCTGCGGCATAGCAGACAGAGCCACTTACTACGAGACAAACAAACTTATCTGTAATAGTAGTATCTACTAGTTTCTGGACTGTAATCAATAGGTATCACGTGTCCGGTTGACCCGTTCTTTCATTTCATTGTTCTTCTTGATTAGATAAAAGTTCACTATTGAATTAATAAATAATAAAATTACCCTTCATAGAATGTATTATACACTCTATGGTAAGGGATTAATTTGCTTGCGCATGGCGACGTGGGATATCTAACTAGTAAGATATCCCATGTCGCCATGCGGCACAAGACACAATAATTACTATTAGATCTGTAATTACGGTAATAAACTTCTAACAGCTTAACTACTGCAAGGGAAGGGACAGGGAAATTAAAAAAGCATATTTAAATCACATATTTTATTATTTAAAATATATCGTCGAGCCCATTTTATCTGCTGGGTCAAAAAATGTCTTACTTTCTCTCCAGTTACTAATAAAAAGTATTTTTTTGTTTTTGCGTACAAATGGATGTCAATATATTTGGTTATTATTTCTTTTAAAAGAACATGATTATGAAAATTGTCTGAGACATAACAGACTGTCTCTCAAGTGATCTTTTAGGAAACAGTTCATTGGTTTTCGTTAAAAGGTTGCTTATTGACTTTCATATCGATCGAATTATAAAGCCTCATTAATATTAGAATCAGGTATTGAAACTTTCGACTGAGAAACCTGGATTGGCCTCAATGGAACTATACCATGAGCGTATCACACGAGGATGAGGCAAAGCCAAATTAAACCTATTACGCACATATGCATATGCCTTTGGCGAATAAAAATGTAAAGAAATGGCAAATTATCTTAATTCTGGAGATTACTTTAAACGTTTTACATTTTTGGTTATTCTTTTAAAAAGTTGTGGTTTGAAATCATCATACTGATTTAACATATAAACACAATCATCACATCCCAGTTTCTTTTGGTTTAAATCAGCAATTACAGATTTTAAAGTAGACACAGTAATTTTCATACGTTTAATATTTTGTGACAATACTTTAATTCGAGCTTGTGACATTTTCAAGGTTTTTAGACCCTTTCCAATTTATTTTTTGAAGATTTTGGGGTGTTCTCGTAGCTGTGATCTAATTTGACACTAGAAATAATTTCCGCTAAAGTTCTAGATTCTGTTGGTGTGCTACAGTAGCTTGTGTTGTAAACTTGTAACTTGTGCTTGGAACTGTAACAAGAAATTATATTTCATTATTTATATTATTCAAAGAAAGATAATAATTAGATACCTAGTAAAAATATGTTTCAAAATATTGGGAAAGGTATGTCATCATCATCATTTGAACGGAAAGATGTTCACTGTTGGACATAGGCATAAAAATCCTTAAGTGTACATAATTTTCACCTCTTAAAAATTGTTTAGTATTTACCCACTGTTAGTTGCAAACTTAGTACTTCAGCAAGCCATGCTCAGTATTTATAAAATTTTCTAAAATAACTTACCTGCAAGGGCTTCACATGGCAACATTTACTTTTCATGGACTTCATCATTTAGTAACCCAACTTGTACAGGTACTGATGGTGAATTAAATTCATCCAAGCTCATTTCAATATCTTTCTCGCATTGGTATTCTGTTGGTTGATCAGCTTTTAGACATCTCAGTTTGTAATAAGGTTGAATTGGTTTCTGTAAAAATGTGTTATTTTATTACAAATATATATAAATTTAGGTTTGGTAGATCACTCAATAAAATTATTAATCATAAATGTTAAATTATTCGTTATTGACTCTGATAATTATAAACCTTGCAGTGTTTTGCTATTATTAGAGATCATTATATTGTGCTTATTATTATTCTACAATGAAGGTAAATATTTTTATTCAATTAAATTCTTATTTAGGCCTTTGTGGAAAACACCACAATTTTGCCAATAATACTTATGAATTGTTAAAAAACCATCAAGAGCTGTGTCGTATTTGACGCAAATTAATATTAAAAATATAAAATATTTTAATTATGAATAAAATAAAACATAGCATTACTGGTTTTATTACTCCAGACGAAAGTATCGATATATGAACTTTACCATCCCTATCAAAAGTTATTGGTTATAAAAATGTTCGTAAAATCCCATAAACTCGAACTGT